CTGTCATTGTTGCTTGGTGCTTTATAAACATGCATTACAGTAGTCCCCCCTAACCTACGGGGGATACGTTCCAAGACCCCCAGTGGATGCCTGAAACTGCGAGTACTACCGAACTCTGTATGTACTATGTTTTTTCATATATGTACATATCTGTGATAAAGTTTAATTTATATATTAGGCACAGTAAGATATTAACAACAACAACTGATAATAAAATAGAACAATTATAACAATATACTGTAATAAAAGTTAACTGTAGATCTTAGCAACTTCAGCATATGATTCTTTTTTTTTGTTTCCTTATTAAGTTGAGAACTTTCTACCTTTTCACTTAAAGGAAGCCCTTGACAGCTTCTCTTTGGCGTATCCGAATTGCCAGCATCACTGCTTTTGTGCTTTGGGGCCATTATTAAGTAAAATAAGGGTGACTTGAACACAAGCACTGTGACACTGAGATAGTTGATTTGATAACTGAGACGGTTTCTAAGTGACTAACAGGCAGGGAGTGGATCCGCTGGACAAAGGAATGATTCATGTCCCAGGCAGGATGGCATGAGATTTAAAACTTAATGAAATGTTTGTTTCTGGAATTTTCCATTTAATATTTTCGGACCCTGGTTGACTGTGGGTAACTGAAACCACAGAGAGTGAAACTGCAGATAAAGGGGGTCTATGGTATATGTTCGCTGAAACAACAATGTAATAATAGCCTAGGTTCCCCAAAATACTGTACAAGAGGAGAAATTATATTCACTTGTTGGCAGAAAAAAATTGGGCTAAGGTAGCCCCAAAGAACGTGTGACTTCTTGGCTAAAGGCTCTTTGTTTTAGGCATTTGATGAAGCGATTGCTGAATTGGACACACTGAATGAAGAGTCTTACAAAGACAGCACCCTGATCATGCAGTTGCTTAGGGACAATCTCACTGTAAGTACTGTGGGTTTCAGTGCTTCTGGAGGGTTTGTAGTCTGGTTCCCTGTTCACCTACTTAATAATTCACTATTGCCCAAGACTTAAGAGGGGATTTGTATACTCTGTAAGTACAGTTAAATTGTTAAATTGGTTAAAAATGACTGCTAAAGTTTTGACCTTTGCAGTCATCAGTGTCTGCAGTAATACAGGAAGAATTTTAAACAGCTGAGTGAGATAAGATGCTACAGACTGGGCCACCTCCTTGAGTAAATTTCAGTAGCCCTGCTTTGATTATAGCTCTCTTTGTCTCTTTCAGCTGTGGACGTCGGAAAACCAGGGAGATGAAGGAGATGCTGGGGAAGGAGAGAACTAATAATGTCTGTTGTGCTTCGTGATCTGTTCAGTGTCACTCTGTACCCTCCACATATATATCCCTTTGTGCGATAAAAAAAAAAAAAAAAGAATCGTACGTCAACTTTCGATTTTTCACAGCCTCAGCCTAGCAAAAATGGTCCATGGGATAAACAGCTGGTATTTGTATCTAAAACTCAGATTGGTCACATAAATGCCACGGCATTCTGAAGTTTTGATTTTGATTAACATTGACAGGATTACTGTGTGTTTAATTTTTTTTAAACTGAACACTGTGATTTTGGGGTTTTGTAACTTAGCAGAACTCTTACTGGTAGAAAAAAATAGACCTGAATTATGTGTAACTTTTTGGAAGTTTAATCTGATATCAAAATAGTCCCTGAAATACAGTTCCATTGTAAAGTTGTACAGAAAGTTATAGAGATTATATTGTGACGCTGGGACTTGGAGTGAGACACCTATTGTTTGGCATTCGAGTTTCATGGGAGTTCACAGTAATTCTGCCTATTGTTCAGGGCCTATAGACACTTGACCAGTTTGGGCTGTTTTCACTCAAAAGTTCCTGACCACAGTGTCTTCCTCTGAGGAAACTCGAAGCCTGAAATTGAAATTGTTTGTAGCAGATAACTGGGTTATGACACCATGAAAAGGTCCAGTGCTCATACAACACGTGTGACTAAACCCCCTTTCCTACAGCAATATGTTAGTGATTACAACTTGTGCTTCAATATTGGAGTCTGTTTTCCTTGTACCCATGAGCTAAAGAAGAACAAAAGCCATCTATCTTAGGAATGGCCTTACCTGTTGCCTGGATAATACCTTTAACAATAATGTTCTGCAGAGACTGCCTTTCACCTGAGGAGTACTCAGTCTTTGGGTTCTTCTTAGCTCGGGGCTTTGAAATTTTGAAATCTAAACCTTCTTTCCCACCGTCCTTTTTCATTGTTGACTTTGGTTTTCTCTTCCCTCTTTAAATTTCTGTCCTTCTCCTTCCTTACATTTTTTTCTTTTTGAATTCTATCTTTATTTGTCTTTCATTTACTGTTTAATACGGTATGGGCAGGGGTAGGGTGCCTGGAGGGGTGAGAAACATTGGTGAGCACTGTGGTGAGCGGCCTTGCTTCCAAGAGTTGAGTAGAGTTTCCAGCACCATAGCTCTGTCTTCCTCCAGTTCTCAGCACACTTGTTGCTCTTCAGTCATACCAAGATCTGGATCAAAAACGCATTTTTAAATATCCAAGACTTCTCCCTGTATTGCAGCCAGCCCCGATATTGCTTGTTAGTACCTGTCACCAGGTCTCCCAAGTGTACTCATCCAGCCACATTCACAGACGTGTTTCAACAAGACTCTATAATGCAGGGAAGTTTCGAGAACATTGCAGTGGAGAGAGTCAGGAATAGCCAGGCCTACCAGTCTCACAGTACCCCCCCCCTTTAACATTCCACGTAGCTCTAGTGTCCATCTGTTTGTCCATCTGCTGAAATGAGAAAAGAAACATTCATGCACTGATTTAAAACAAACCAAAAAAAAAAAAAAAAATCCCTCTCTCCTTTCTAGCTGAACAAAAACGTGCAGTTAATACTTGGCGCTTGAAAATGCAGTAGTGACTGTGGAACGAGCCTGTCTGTATATCTGGTAGCTCTTTCTTGCTTCGTTTTTCCTTACCAGTATTCTTCCTCACGTTTGCTTCTGTGATGGTTATATTGCCTAGCAAGCACACCTGTGGTTGTGAAAATAGTATAGCAAAAAAGAAAAATCCCTGGTTATTGATGTAGTAGATTTGCATATGTCTTTTAAACAGTTCTAGTTTCCACCTTACATGGAATAATCAGGAAGAGTGTAAAAATTCAAAAGTGAAATAAAAAATTTTATGAGTTAGTTGCCTGTGAATTGGTGTGTGGCGCCATCTCTGTCACTACCAGAACTAGCTAACTATTCTCATCACACGTATTTAAAAGTAGGCAACAGGGGGCCGGCCCGGTGGCACAAGCGGTTAAGTGCGTGCGCTCCGCTGCGGCGGCCCGGGGTTCGCTGGTTCGGATCCCGGGCGCGCACCGACGCACTGCTTGGCAAGCCATGCTGTGGCGGCATCCCATATAAAGTGGAGGAAGATGGGCACAGATGTTAGCCCAGGGCCGTCTTCCTCAGCAAAAAAAGAGGATTGGCGGATGTTAGCACAGGGCTGATCTCCTCACCAAAAAAAAAAAAAAAAAAAAAGTAGGCAACAGTTTTGTTTCCTCCTTTAGAACCCGAAGTCAGGGTGTTGTAAAGGGGAAGAAATTACCACTAATTAACACAGCCTCTCCACCTTCCACCACAAACCATCCAGGTGTTAGGTCCTCTTTTGTGGCTTCTAAGATTTGCTACGGACAGTTATTTTGCATCCCATTCAAGGACCCCCACCCCCTTTTTAACCCTGAGATGTAACCAAGCCAGTGAGAGATGGCTGCTTTATAAGGCTTGGTGGTCTCCGAGGTTATGCCAGCCTCTGTCATCTGTCCTAACACTGTTTGTGGCAGCCTGCCTGCAGCACTGTGTTTCCTTGTGGGACTTGCCCCCTTCTAAAAACCTCCACACTCCCCCACAGAGAGAGAAAATCAGGATGGAGGAGTATTTTTTAGTCCAAGTTTAGAATTCGTTGGTGCTTGCTTGCTACCGTGAGGCTAGACAGCCAGACTAGCTTCTGCCCATGGTTCTGGAGCGGTTCCACCTGCCCAAGTCACACTCAACCAAAGGTCAGGGGGAACCTACCTGCTTGGTGACAGCAGGGACACCGGGAGAGGCCCTGAGAGGCCAGGTGGAGTACTGGTCCACAGTGGACTGGAAGTTTTCAAAAACGACCCCACAGCACAGATTGAGGCTGCAAATTCAATTGACAGAAGGGTCTTGGTGCCCAGCCTGGGGTCACCACTGTGTCCTTGTTCTCCTGTTAGGTCCTTACTGTTCCGGTAGAGTAACTTAGTGAACCCTCCTGGTGGAATGCAGTGCAATGGCTGAGTCAAGAGAAAGAGGTGGGCAGGGAATGTCCCACGATAAGGTCTTGGCAGTGTAAGAGCCAGGGCCAAGGAAGGCCTTAGTGGTCTCAAATTCTCACATGGAGCCTTCAATCCCAAATCACAAAGCTGGTTCCAGAAGGGTGAGATCCGGGCTGTTTTAATAAGACGATGACTCCTTTCAGAAGGCAAAGTACAAAAGCTTTGAAACTGGGTAGCCAGCTCGGAACTCCCCCGTTTGTGAAACACGCCCAGGATGCACAGTCCCCTTTAATCCTTGCAAAGAGGGCGTCGTCCCGGTTTTACTGAGAAGGGAAACGGGCCCGGAAAGGCAATGACGGGGGTTAGAACCCAGGCCTGCCGTCGCTGTCCCCCAGCCTCTGAACTGTCGGAGAGGGCTCGGAGCTCCACCGCAGCCCTACCCGAGGCCAGGTGAGGGCTCTCCCCGCCTCCCGAGGCCGGGTCAGAGATGCCCCCCACCTGAGGCGTCTAGGACCCTGAGGGGCCCCAGGTGAGGCGCGGGGAGGGAGGCGTCCCGGGGCGGGGCCC